TCAATCAAAAGTCGATTAGATCGTACTACCGATTAAATTGTTTTTTCACTTTGAATCGCACTATATCTGTTAATTTTATTTTGAAATGTTGAATTTCTATCTAATATTCAAATTGTTTTTTCTTTTCTATTTAAATCTAATTGTTTGTCTTTTATATATACCTATAAATACCTAATTCATAAATGGGCGTTTATAGGTTCACACCTCAGCCCATTCTCAGTTTTCAATGATAATAATAATAATTATTATTATTGTCTTCTGTGAATGTGAATATTGTTGCCATTGGTCATAAGGTAAATACTAGGTATAGATTTGGCAGCGGGAGAATGTATCACTATTGGTGTATATTGGCGCCGATTTTAATTATCGAAAAAAGTATTAGTGATGATTTCAAATAAGAAATGATTGCATCAAATACTATTATTTATACTAGCAATGATCAATATGAAATAGGTATGTGGCGTAAATTCCATGCATAAATGCTGTTATAATCGATAAATAACTGATCCGCAAATTCGATTTTATTTGATATGGCGTCAAAAAAAGAAGGTGCCATTCGAAAAACTTGAGTTTTCGGTAATCTTTCAATGCGACACTTGAAAATTGCTCGCGCCCATATGGCAGAAAACAGACCATCGATGGAATATCAGGAGTAAGCTTGGAGCTTTCAGCTAAGTGTTCCACAAATTTGGTGCTCTAATCTTGAACAGTTTGCGAGATACAAATATTTACTTGAACTATTACGGCGGTAATTATTTTCATAAAAATCGCCATATCTCGAAAACTGTGATAAATAAGTTGACATAAATCAGGTTGTCAAACTCAGAATTGAAAGGTCAATAGAACCGTTTGAAAAAGAATGTAGGCTTCTAGGAGAAAGTTAGTGCCTCGGTTAGTGCCGACTTCTGGCACACCCTGTGCAGCTGGAAGACTAAACATTTTCAGGTAGATTGAAAAAGATTGATTATAACAGCTTACTAATTTTCAAGTTTTTAATCCAAATGCAAGTTGGAGAACTTCTAATGTGTGGCCTTATAGTGCAATATGCCCAAAAGTATGGAAACCCTTCAATATTTCTTTTTTGAAATAAAATAATCGTTGAAATCAGTGTTGGCACGAATTAATTCATATGAATTGAGTCAGAGGTATATAGAAAAAATATCAAATTTTAACTCATCTTCGGACGTTTCGGGAACGAATCTGCTCCCGTTTTCAACTACACGTATATTGAAATAATATTGCTATTTTTATTTCTTAGAGACGACGAGAGAAAATCCCAAATAATCTGGATTAACCTACAGACAGTAATCAATATGAAAAAAATTTCGAACATTTTAAATACACTTAGTAAATGCTAAAAAATATTTCCGTTTGCGTTTAAGCACTTATTTGTTTTTTCTAAAACCGACACTTGATTTATTTCTCTGGGACGCCATAAAGAACACTGTTCACAAAAACGGCAGCAAATTATAACCGCTTTTCGATCTTTACGAAGGCGATCTGTTGAAAGGTATGTGAGAAGAGTTCCAGAAAAAGCAAAGAAATGCTTAAATGCAAACGGAATTTTTTTCAGTTCACTATGAAAGAAAACCCGAGAGAAAACCTAATGTTCGATATTTTTGGCATATTAATTAAATTGTGTTTTTATGATTCATAAAAAATATTATTTCACCAAATAATAAAGAAATGCATAATTATCATTTTTGGTCTCATATAACTAATGATGCTTTTAGAAATAGAGCAATTCAATTATGTAATAGGTATTTCGCACTGAATAATGTGTTAGATAAATACTAATTAATACCAGAAACGGTGTGTTAGAAAAAGATGAGTTTCTCCCTACCTTTTATATACATTGTTTTCATTGAAACAAACATTTTAAGTAATATTTTAATGCACCATCATATCAAGGAGATCGGAAACTATCGAAAAATGAAATAAAAAATGCAAGTCCGTATTTCAAAAAATAAAGTTGATGATGGCCGCTCGAAGAAGAAACGTTGGATTTCTAATTTGACATTTCCATTATGTAGAGGAAGAAAAGTGGCGATGATGAAGTGACCTTTATTTTGAAATATCTCTTCAAATAAACTATGTAATAAGTAATATCATTCCAGAGTTTCATTCAGGAGTGTATAATACAGGGTGGGACTACATTAAATATTACTCAAACTTTTTCGTATGCATATTTTTTGAAAATTTAATCTCGGATTATGATAATCCACACCTTTTCAAAAAAAAGGTGCTCTTGTTCCGCATCAATCTGATGTATCAGTTTCGAGTGAAATCGATTCAAAAATATTGTTACATCTCACAAATTATACATAACGTTGCCAATTTTCGAATCTCAGTAGCTATAAAAAAATCAAGTACTTTCTTTTTACCAAACAATTTCATAAAAGCGCAAAAAATAGGAAAATGATGATGAAAAAACTACTTCAATTTTTGTGCATTTTTTTTCTATTTCCACTACGCCTCTTTGCAATGTTATGTATAATATCTGAAATGTAACAATATTTTTAAATTGCTTTTAGTCTATAATGATACATCTGATCTTTAGTCCTAAGACCGCCGAATAAGCGTAGCCTAGCCAGTCGGTCTTAGGACTTAGAACTGCTGGCTGGAGACTCACCTGCACTGATGAGAGTCAAAGAGCTCGAAACTGGTCTGTAGGAGTCTAGCGTGGCCTGGCTAGATTGAAATCAATAGGCATTCAGGAAAGAATCACTTCTATCAGTATTCATGTATACGAGTTGATGCATAGATTTGGGGAGGATGAAATTTAATGTTCTGCGTGGCATAAGACAGGAAAGTAGATGTTTTTCTCCAGAAATCTACCATTGTTTTTCATTTTATAAACATTGTGTGGTAATGGATTTGAGCTTTTTGTATTTATTTAACATTTCATTCAACTTTTGAGCATTGTGGCTCTTTTGTAAACTACTCAACACTAATTTCGTCGCACACCAAAATGTCGCCCCTGATATAATGTGAATAACTTTTTTCAGTTTAGAACAATTTGAATTTGGTTCACCCTGTTCGATAGCCCAGTCCTTCAGCTATAATCTCGTACTTCATTGAAACATGAGGGTATTTACATAAAATCTCTACATGGTGTTTTCCGACACTGTGCAAAATTTCGGAATATTCAAAAGGCTCTCAAATGGCGAAAAAAAATTTTTTCTCAACTTCGACAACAGAGGCATGAAGATGATCTCATTACCTCGAGATATTTCGCGAATCAACTTCCTATCTCTCTTATTTACAGAGTGATCTCAAAAAATCAACTTTTTGGTTTTGCAGCCATAACTTTTTTCCACGTCAACCGATTTTGGGAATCTTAGGCTCATTTTGAAGATAAAACTTCAGATGAAGAGATCTGAATATCAGAATTGACTCAAGATGACTATCAAAGATCTAGTGTTTTCTTGAAAGTGACCCAAATCTGGAACGCCCTCCGAATCTTGGTTGGGAGGAGAATTGAATGAAAATCAACTTGTTCTCGGAAAAATAATTCATTCTGGATGCGTCCATATTTTCCTCGCTCTCAGTACTCAAGAATGTGCATGAGAAATCACAATTGAAACATGTTCTTGCAAAAACATCAGACCATTTCTCCTCTGTAATGCATGGCCCGTAACCAACGTTACAAGAATCACAGTAAGTGACTGACAAGTCAGGTTAGACGTCGTTTTCGAATCTTAAACAGATTTTGATAGTTTCGATGCCGCATCTAACGACCGACCAGTTGGAACTGATTCCACAAATGAGGGAACAAGGGTTATCTTCCCTCCAAATCGCGGATCTGCTAAACACGACAGTCCGATCCATTCAAAGGGCTTATCTCCGACACGATTTTTTTGTTTATTACTGTCGATTTGTTCGACGCATTATTGCGACTGAAAACTTTACGTAATTGGCAAACTGTTTTCGTGAAACTTTCACCATTTTTGAAATGCGTTTTCACAATAAATAAACGTTGTTTGCTTGAATACTTCTCCATATTCTTAAATCGCATGTTATGTACGTGACAACTGTTAAAAAAATCACTTTATTGAAAAAATCAAAATTCGTTGCTCTTGTTGGTACAACATTTATGATGAGTCTCAGCTGATCGGGTTTGTCAGTCACTCATTGTGATTCTTGTAACGTTGGTTACGGCGGGCCATGCATTACAGAGTAGAAATGATCTAATGTTTTTGCAAGAACATGTTTCAATTGTGTTTTCTCACGCACAATTCTTGACTACTGAGAGCAAGGAAAATATGGACGCATCCAGAATGAATTGTTTTTCCGAGAACAAGTTGATTTTCATTCAATTCTCCTCCCAACCAAGATTCGAAGGGCGTTCCAGATTTGGGTCACTTTCAAGAAAACTCTAGATCTTTGATAGCCATCTTGAGTCAATTCTGATATTCAGATCTCTTCATCTGAAGTTTTATCTTCAAAATGAGCCTAAGATTTCCAAAATCGGTTGACGTAAAAAAAAGTTATGGCTGCAAAACCAAAAAGTTGATTTTTTGAGATCACCCTGTAAATAAGAGAGATAGGAAGTTGATTCGCGAAATATCTCGAGGTAATGAGATCATCTTCATGCCTCTGTTGTCGAAGTTGAGAAAACATTTTTTTCACCATTTGAGAGCCCTTTGAATATTCCGAAATTTCGCACAGTGTCGGAAAACACCATGTAGAGATTTTATGTAAATACCCTCATGTTTCAATGAAGTACGAGATTATAGCTGAAGGACTGGGCTATCGAACAGTGTGAACCAAATTCAAATTGTTCTAAACTGAAAAAAGTTATTCACATTATAACAGGAGCTACATTTTGGTGTGCGACGAAATTAATGTTGAGTAGTTTAGTTCACATTTTTTTCCGGAAAGTACATCAATACATATTTTTGGGTAATTTTGAGTGGCAATCACATGAAAATATATTTGAAAAGTTCATGATTCACTTGTTGTTCAGGTTGAGATATTTCGATTTGATGAATTCACAGATATCCGCAAATCTCTTTCGGACATTGCCTCCAAGTGAAAACCCAGACTTTGATCCTGAAGAAGATGACCCAACACTGGAGGCAAGTTGGCCCCACCTTCAGCTGGTTTATGAGTTTTTCTTGAGATTCTTGGAGAGCTCGGACTTCCAGCCTACAATTGGAAAACGGGTGATCGACCAGAAGTTTGTACTCCAATTACTTGAGTTATTCGATTCCGAAGATCCTAGAGAACGCGACTTCCTCAAAACTGTTCTGCATCGCATATATGGAAAATTTCTAGGTCTCAGAGCCTTCATCCGAAAACAGATTAACAATATTTTTTTGAGGTAAGTGGCTGAACTGTTCCAGTAGTATGATAAAATAGTGATGAAAATTGTTCTGTTAGGTTGCTAAATTCCCTGTATGATGAATACTTGTTTCATGATTTTCTAAACGTCACTAATATCTTTTTTATGAAGATGAAACTGCTATAGGCGACGGAATTTAAGATTGCAGCACCAAATAGTTCAATTGCTTGTGTGTATGACTTGGATTCTTTGGAAGTGTTTTCAGTAAAAAAAATAGATTTTTTACTGTTTCTTTGTGTCCTGTGAATCAAGAGAGCTTTAGCGGATATTCTTTCAATTAAGTAGTATATATCACTACTTCAAATACATAGAAATTATTCAATGACAAATTTTCTTCATTTGTTTATAAAAGAGAAAATTTCCTTAAAGCTTGATGTATGTGTGAATAACTCAATTCATTTGACCATGAAAAATTGAACTTAGGTGCTTTGATTTTGAGTAAGGATTGCTCCCTTTCTTTTGGAACTTTCCACTTCTGGGAATAGAATACCACTGAAATTAAAATAGAACATGAATACACCGATTCATATAATCATTTTCTGTGAAATGCAGTGAGCAAACTCACTTGGTAACATAAGAAACCGAACAATAATCATTGAAGATAATATATCGAAAAAATAGATCTCGGAAAAAATCACGATCACCATGCTAAAGTTCTGATCAAATGTATGGAAACCGAATGTAAAAAATATATCATTGTACTTTCTATTAGTTTCTTGAATATCTGTAAGAGGGTTCATTTTGAATCGCCTATGAAGCATTCAATCTGTTATACTAGCTGATCTTGCAACATTGTTTCCATTCAACCAATGATATATAGGGTGTTATCGAAATAAATACTCAAAATTCGAACCCCAACCCGAATTCGAACGTTGCCACAGTTCATAAAGATGGTAATTGCAAATAAAGTTTGATAGTGTCTAGGAAAGCGGATGTTTCTTAGATTTGAGATGAATTACCTTGAATACATTCTGAATTGGATCATATCACTAGTAAAGAGATAGAGATAGAGTTTATTTAACTATGTTACATACAAGTATGTTTATAGCAGGTCAGCAGGGCAAGGGAAAAGTAGCACAGTAAAGTATCAATACTAACATATTAAAATACAATATAGTGGTAATTTTGAAAATGTGATAAAATTATCAGTATCTGTAATATATATCAAAGAATTACATGACAAACATATATGATATGATAAAAAATGACAAGTATCAATAAAATAATGTGAAAAAATCACATAAATAAATAGATAAATAATAATATGAATTAAAAAGTTATAAAAACAATGGCAAACATAAAAGCTATGTTGCCCTATGTAAGTCCAAGCTCTGAAAGATTTCGATTTTTGGAGGTATTCGGATATACTGTAGAAACAATTATCAAGAAAAATGTTTTGATTGTTGTTTTGATTTTTTTTGGTTCCAGTAGTTTAACTGATTCATGAAGAACATTGTATAGATTGAAATTAAAGAATTCTGTTGGCTTACTGCTAGTCTATGTCTTTGAAGATTCAACAAGTCTGCGGATCTGGTGTTGTAATTATGTATATCCGAGTGTTTTATGAATTTGCTCTTGTTATTATGTATTTCCAGTAGAACTGTGAATATATACAAAGTAGGGATTGTTCACAATGATCTCTATACTCAAGATTTGCTAGAATTCTTATAGCCCTTTTCTGTGAACTGAATACCCTATTCACATTACAAGAGTTGCCCTAAAGAAGAATGCCATAGGATAAGACAGAGTGAAATAGAGAAAAGTACGTGATTTTCAGTACATCCATATTAGTAACAGGTTTAAGTTGCCTCAATATGAATAAAACACTAGAAAACTTACTAAGCACCTGATCTACATGACTGGACCAATTTAATCTATCATCAATTTTTAAACCCAGTAGTGTAATATTATGCCCTTTTTGATACAGAGGATTTGAGGAGACGATCAAGTTTTGAGTTTTGTTCTCGTTTAGTTTGAGTTTATTTCGCGTAAACCAATTTTTCGCAATGTTCTTTTCGAGTTCAGCAGCTACTGGTAGTGCGTCATGCAGCTTACCCGAGCTTATGAGAGTGGTGTCATCAGCAAATAAAACGCATTTTATAGGTTCGATAGACTGACAAGTCGTTTATGTATACTAGGAACAGAAACGGCCCAAGGACGGATCCTTGAGGTACGCCATGTTCGATATGTTTGAGATCTGATTTCTTGTTGTTTAAATCAACATACTGATACCTATTGTTGAGATAAGAACTGATGAGTTCTAAAATGGTACCCCTCAATCCGTAATGAGTCAATTTGTCAATGAGTATGGTATGTGATACACAGTCAAAAGCCTTGGTCAGGTCGCATAGTGTTAAGGAAGTATGTCTGCCCTGATCAAGGCCCTCAACTATGTCGGTCACTATGTTGAAAACTGCCTGAGTGGTGGATTTGTTCTTACGAAAACCATATTGTAATTAACTGAAAAAAAAACTATTTTCAAAGTAAGAATAAAGACGTTCTTTCAGAATTATTTCAATAATTTTTCCTATGATAGAAATTATGCTGATGGGGCGGTAATTGTCTAGGGATGATTTGTCGCCCTTTTTGAAGATGGGTATAACTCTGGAGATTTCAAGAAAATCTGTGACGACGTGATCGAGAAAATATAACAGTGGAATTAATAGTCATTCCTAAACATGGGAAGTAATATGATATATAAATTGAAAACATCAAAAACTGACTGAAATGAAAAAAGGAATACCAAAATCAGTACACAGGCTTAAAAGCTCAATAGAAATACTAGACAAAGACACTAGAATTTCCAAAAGTGGAGTAAAAAGTTGAGGATCAAAAGTCTCCCTATTTTCACGCCACAACAGTGATCACTTTGTTGTTTATCAAAAGGAACTACTCCAGTTAGATATTTGAAAACTGAATTCAGAGAATAAGTATGATAAGTTCATGTGTACGGCCAGGCACTAGGATTTCAATAGTCATGACGTGACGTACACTTTTTCATTTCTTGTTCCATTTACGGGATGACAGTTATTGTTAATTTGAAGGATAAATTGTATATTTTATAAATTGTTGTTAGACTGTAACTTATTGCTGTGTTCAATATACAGTCAAAAGGAAACCTTTCATCCTGATTTGAGGGCTTCAAAATGAAAATCCGGAAAAACGCTCGGACCCGTCAATTTCTGATTCGAGGGGAACGACGTGTGCTTTCTTCATCCCGTAACTTCAACCCCCTACCAGGGTAAAGCACAACCCCTGGATATTGAATAGGGATGAGGGGTGTTGAGGTGCCTTATTTTGAAGATTTCATGAAGATTTCAAGTACTATTCGATCCTTCTAATTTCCGTTATTAACGAAATGAGAGATGATATAGTGGAAGAAGCAATATCGAATTCACCTTGAAAATATTCTAAGTAGAGTAGAATTCGAAAAGTATTTATACACTCACCGGCAAAAAAACCGGCCACCAAAAAATTTGCCAAATTGTTCACCCTGTAACTTTGTTAATACTCGTCCGATTTTTGTGAAATTTCGATCAAATCGTAGATTCATGTTCCGGAATGTGAGCCTGAATATTAGTTTCCGTGAATGGCTGATGACTGATCTTTAGTCCTTAACGTCCTGTGGCAAAATTGAGTGGTTGAACTTGGCTTCATCATGTTTTGGATTGAAGTGTGATCCTTTCTTGACACAAAAGTTGGTGATTCACGTCATGATCTTATTTGTAAGAGAAGATACGTGTGATTTAAGAAAGTATGTCATTTTTCAATTCTTATTAACAACTTAGGAAATTAATATCAGGTTAGGTTAGGTTCCATGTGAGTGGGGCGAATACCGCCCATCCACTGTAACTATTGTGGCTCATCCCTAGAGATTACAGTTCACTGTACAATCCACATCTTCTACATAGTCCATGGTTGAATTAGGTGAGATTTGTCTAAAATCAATAGGTTCTAAATTGGTAAAGCCGAATATGTCGAACATCAGTCTCTCTAAGCAACAGCATGAACATAATATGTACTTTCGTATTCTTAAGGCGATTTCGGATTTTCTCTAACAGTATACTACTCAAAGGTATCTACTTTTTCGAGCGAACAAAAATTTTCAATCAAAACTCAAAACTCCAGCAAAATTGAAGAAAACATTTCGATGAAGGCCATCGATCCACAAATACTCCTATATCAATTTTCAAAACAATATCTCATACGGGGTGTTTTTTATCAACGTTACAATTTTGAAATATTTGCCCTTTTCAAGTCACCGTGTATAATAATTCTTAGAATTTGACTGATATCAGGCATGATGGTAGTCAGGATAAGATCATCTGGTTACAGGGTGAGATGAATAACTAATAAAATTACTAAAAATTTATCAAGAAATGAAAAAATAAACTAAAGTCTACCTATAAAAAAATAAAATAAAAAATTAGACAAAGAACAAAACAGCAATTATTCCTAAGTTCTGATTTTTGCATTTTCGATTGAATCTTCATTCTCTATACACTGCATATTTCTTTTGGCACGTTATTTTCAACTCTCCTGCAAGGTTTACAAATTAAGGCCAAAAAATAGGGAAGAGTTGCGACAAATAAACAGTTTAAAGACAGATACCAACAGAAGAACTGAGGAGAGTTGAAAATACCGTACGAAAGGGATATGAAAAGTGTGTGCGTACAGAATGAAGGAGAATGGACCGAGAATACAAAAATATGAACTTGTTAGGAATAATTGCTGTTCTGTTCTTTGTCTAATTTTTGATGTTACTTTTTTATAGATATCGTTTAGTTTCTATTTATTTCTTGATGAAAAATCTAAATTTTTAGTGAGTTTATTAGTTATTTATCTCACTCTGTAGTCAGATGATCTAATCCTGATTATCATAATGCCCGATATCATTCAAATTCTAAGAATTATTTTACACGGTGACCTGAAGAGTGTAATTATTCAAAAATTATAACGTTGATAAAAACACCCCACCCCGTATGAGATATTGTTTGGAGAATTGATATAGTAGTATTTGTAACTAGTCCGAATCGATTGCTTCCATTGAAGTTTTTGTAAAAAAATGCCAAAATCCGTTTTCTTTGATTTTGCTAGAGTTTTTGTGATCGCAGTAGGTCAAGAAATTATGAATGATGGAATTATGTTTGCTCTAAAATGTAGATAATTTTGATTGGTATACTGTGAGAAAAAAATCCAAATCGACCTAACAATACGAAAGTACTGGTGAGGTAGACCAAATTGTAACACACCATATATGAAAATTTCTGCGAACTCTGAAGTGAAATGCGAATTCGCAACAGTCTGTGTGTTTTTACTAAGATTAATTAACAATAAAATTTTCTTTCTCATATTTTCAGGTTTGTGTATGAGACTGAACATTTCAACGGTGTGGGAGAGCTCCTGGAAATCCTAGGTTCCATTATAAATGGTTTCGCACTGCCTTTGAAGGCTGAACACAAACAGTTCCTCGTGAAGGTACTCATCCCTTTGCATAAGGTCAAGTGCCTATCTCTGTATCATGCGCAGCTAGCCTATTGCGTCGTTCAGTTCTTGGAAAAGGACCCCAATTTGACCGAACCCGTTGTTAGAGGATTGCTCAAATATTGGCCCAAGACATGTAGTCAGAAGGAGGTGATGTTTCTAGGAGAGATTGAGGAAGTTCTGGATGTCATAGAACCTTCCCAATTCACAAGAATTCAGGAACCCTTATTCAGGCAGATATCTAAGTGTGTTTCCAGTCCACATTTCCAGGTGAGTAATTCATTTCTTTTTTGTATTGTGAACCTGAAATACTTTATTCCTGTCAAAAATGATGCAACTACCAACTTCAATTTGGAAGTGTTAAACTTGTACAATTCACTTTGCCGTATTCTGAAGGGAGACAAGGAAATGATGGTTGAAACGATTTCGCTCACAGTCTTAGAATCATAGAGAGGATTACAAAATGAATTCGTCATGTTGTGATTCTCATATGGAACAGTTTAAAGAGTGACATTTCTTACAATATCTCATTTTGAATGAACAAATATCAATAAAGTGAAGATTTGTTCTAGCTGCATAGTGACTGATCAACCGAGTGATCAACCAAATGAAGAAATTTTGTATTTGATCTAAAATTTTATTATCAAATCGCAGAGCACTTTAGAACTGTGTAGATTACTTACTCATTGAGTAATTAATTACAAAAAGGTCGAAAATTAAATCAACATCATTAAGGTACAAACGGTATTAGGAACAGACATACATCCAACAAATAAGTACCCATGGGTTGTTGTAAAATTTTTGAAAATACATATACCAGGTGAACAACTAAGAGCGGCTGTCGGCTATATCTCAGCAACGAATACAAAATCGAATGTAACGGTATGCATATTGTTACTCGGTGCAATAGAGAAACTGAATCTCAACAGAACAATGAAAACTGCAACATGATAGCTTTTTGCTAACGGAAAATATTAACGATCAAAGTTGGAGAAAGGATTGATGACAGCCGTTCTTAGTTGTTCACCTGGTCACCTGGTTCACAAGAGACCTTAACATTATTTAGTCTGACGGATACTTGACCTTAACAATATTTCTATTTATTTATTTATGTATCTTTATTTATTTATACTGATTACAAAAATACTATACTATACTAAGAATTTACATTGTTAGCAAAGAATCTATTTGAAAATTTTGAGAAATAAAATAAGAGGAAATGAACTTCATTCCAGGCCAAAGAGTAACAACCTTTATTGGAAAACTGAAAAATATTTCCATTCAAGGCCTGAAAGTCCTAGCATTCAAGCTCATGAGAAACAAAAATATTCCTATCTCAAATTCATATTACGATAATTGATGGGTTATCAAACTTGGCCTTTGGCCTTGTTTGACCAATTTCCCACCTCATATGATACTTATATCGTAAATATCTATTTCCGGCCTAGTCCGGGAAGTACGTACTTCGCGGACTGGGGAAGTATCACATCGTTGTATTCATTAATTCTCATTTGCATCAAAGACTGAAATTTGACCAGAATACCTATACCTAACTGGTACATTGGAAATTTCTTATGGACATTTTCAAACTCACTATTGCAGCTGCTTTCGATAGTTTATTGGGATAATTGCAATGAATCTTTCAAAAATTAAAATGTCAACTAATTTCATGTTGAATACAACATTTGATTGAAAAAAATTATAAATTTAGATTTTTCGACCACCTTGTATCAATTTCAATTGAACACCAATTGATAGTGAGTGAAAAGTTGAGATAGGGACATGTAAACCGTTTTGACGAATAATGAACAGTTTCGACAGGAAAAGATCCTGAACTTGGAAAATCTCGATTTTGCACACCCTATATTTCAGTAACTTTCACTGCTAGACCCTAAGTATGATGGGTCGTTGAAATCAGATCTCCAGGAAGAATTCAAAAATGAAATAAAATATAGGGTGTTCCAATGAAAAAAACATAGCTTTGATGTGCTGTGACCTTACGGAACACCCTGTTTATTCCAAAGAAATTTCGAAATGTGAAACTCGGTTATTACTTCAATTTAGATCCATGAATTTTTTTTGTATCTCTGAAGACAACAGAGAAATCGAACTCTGGAGTCTTAGTTGGCCACCCTGTACTTCCAATTTCTAGGCTTGTCTACCTACTGAGTTGCCTAAGTAAAAAAGTAGACTCGCTAATTTCCTTTGGATAAAATCGATGTGGCTGCGCCAGGAAAGTTTAGTATCATAACAATTCCAAGAAAATTTGCATTTACTAGAGCATTGTGGTCTTTGAACAAATTAGTTTTCGTTTTTTCTGTTTGTTTGAAGAAAGTTTATTTATTGAGAACCAGGTTTCAATTTTTCTAATAAGATTGTCTTGATCAATTATCAGAGAATTGTAGGAGGTATGGCGATTTATCAAGTTCGTGTCATTGGCAGAGATAATTAAATTATGGTGGGGTGAAACAAAATCACAGAAATCATTGATATAAACTAAAAACAGGAGTGGTCCCAAAATCGAGCCTTGGGACACCCCATGTTTGATAGGGATAATTTCAGAGCTGATATTATTCACCCAGACATATTGGCATCTGTGTTTCAGGTGAGATTTTATTAATGAAAGAGATGCCTCCCTGACTCCATAGTAGTCGAGTTTCTTTATCAAAATACTAACTCAACATCAAGAATCTGATTGCAACAAAAGTGTTATTTAAGTATTTACGAGGTTATGTAGAGATTGAACATTTGTTATAGAAAGCGTATTGAATAAGTGAATAGTAAACCTTTCATTGGTACCCTATTTTGCTCATTTAAAAGACGCATCAGCGTGTATAAATCCATCTTTTGTTTTTTGTTGCTACTAAGTCTAAATGTCAACGTTTTAATTATCGATCTGATACAGGAATATCATGGTTGTCTAGCTAAATCAAGTGCCTATGATGTTGAATAATGATATATTTGATTACATTATTTTGATAAACTTTCCCGTTTTGTTATTCATAAAATTCGAGTGTCAGCTGACAGAATATACCCTGAGGAAGTTGAAAAATACAGGTTGCCTACATTTCCCAATGCACAGCTATGTAGTTTCCAAGTATAAACAGGTAAGTTATCGAAATTTATATACCCTCGTGAGTTATTTAATCCAAATATGGCTCGAATGAAAGATTTTTTTTCCACGATCCAATTGCATTAGGTCGCCTTATCAAAAATATTGTTAAATTCATGGTTGCCTAGATATAAAATGTGGAATATTCTGCCCGAGCGTTAAGTGTGACAGAGAGGCGTTGCGGGCATTTTATTTAATTTTAATCCATCAATTGCTGAGAGCAGAACCTGAATTCTTAATGGCAATCACAGCCAAACTTCTCATCTCTCTCAATAGTTTTGATGGTTTTCGATCTCCAAGCTCATTATCAGCAACGAGATTTCGCAACTGCTTCGATTCTGATTCTGTGGAGTTATTAACGAGATATTCCTTTGATGCATTATATGTATCATTCTGAGGCGGATTTGTGATGAGGTCGCAAACTTGTTGGGGGATGGAAGTGTCTAAAGCTGCTACAACAGTGAAATACTTTGATAAGTCGGATATAATCTTCAGTAATCCAAACTGTGCATCCATTTGAACGAACCATAGCTTTGACTTGCTTTGCCAGAAAGGAGGCCACTTAGCATGTTTGATTTTGTTAATGAAATTGCCCGTGCTAGTAGCAGATTCTTGTGGAATTTGCTGTTGATCACTAGTCATGATGTTAGGCAGCTGGGCTAACAAATAATGAAAACGTTCAGTGCGGCTCTCAAATTATCGCGGCCACCAATTGTAGGTACAATAGAGCGTAGAAAGGATCAAGATAATTTCATTACTCAACTAATCTACTTGACAATACAACATACAGATAGATCTGACAATCTGTCACTTTCACCACCTTCACAATTTATATCAGATACAGAGTGCTCGTCACCGCATATGTATTATCTAACATTTATTCTTTATTATCATTAAATAACAGAAGAGGGTTGTATATTTCTTATACCGTATCTCAGAAACGAATAAATTTGGAATAGCAGTTGTTACCTATTGAATAATATTAATTTTCCTGATCTTGACGTATTGATTCACTAATTGTATGTTGATTTACTGATCTATACATTTCATTACATAGTAATAGAAGTAGTAGAAAATTAAGCGAAAATTTTAGTAGGGTCGTTTTTTTGTTAGTTAGTTTTTGTAGATTTTTCAGGGCGGGCCATCGACATGACGTGGGCGTATTCTAATATTGGACGGCAGATCATCTTATATATTCTTGATGCGGCTTCAACTTTATTTATTGCCGTTGTTTTTGTATGTCGCTGACCGGAAGTGTTTATTTCTGGTTTTGCATTGGTTTTTGATCCTTTCGGTGTAATTGTTGAAATTGACTTTGTTATCCATTTCAATCCCAACCCAAGATACTTTGCTGGATTTTGAAGGTGTGATCGTAGGTGGTTAACTGATGGTCTGTGGTAAAATATAATGAACTGTAATTTTCTTGAATTAGGTTTCTGTCTCAAATTCCTGATCCAAGTACTGTTGTTGTGATTTTTTGTGGTTTACTTCAGACATTTCAACTGTAACGTCAGCAATTGTCAACCTCTTTTTCAAATGGCATCATATGCTTTCCATAATAAGAGTCAACAGTCGCTGACGTTACAGTTCAAATTTGAATAATAATGATTACATCCTACTCATAGTATCTGATGAGTAATTTCATTTGCTTTTTTGTTTTTTAAAATTGGATGATTAGTAGCGGCGTTATGGCTTGAGGTGTTTTTTGTCAGTCAACCTGTAAATATGTTGCAAAATTCGACAGACAACAATACAATTGAAAAATGAAAGAATGTTCGAATTTTTTCAATATATTTTGTTATTTCTTCATGGTTTATATTGTTAGAGAGAAAATAAACATTCAACTGGAATAATGTGATTATTACGCCAAATAAGTACAACGCAATTAATCAAAACAATAATATTAACGAGCGGGCGTTTGACTCAGGCATCGATTACAAACTGGATTGCGTATGCGTCCAGTATCTAGTGACTGACAGCGGCTCGTTCTTCCCGATTTTGCAGAATTTGCGACGTTGCCGGATGTTGCTAACAATATATTTTATTACAGGTTGCAGAGCGGGCTTTGTACTTCTGGAACAACGAGTATATAATGTCTCTGATGGAGGAGAACAACAATGTTATCATGCCAATTATGTTTCCAGCGCTTTATCGAATATCTAAGGAACATTGGAACCAAACCATAGTCGCACTTGTTTACAATGTGCTCAAAACATTCATGGAAATGAATTCGAAATTATTTGATGAACTAACGGTCAGTTACAAGGCAGAAAGACAAAAGTGAGTATGAAATAAACCATAATGAGATCTAATATTCTTTGTTCTGAGATAACTCAACACCAGAGTAAAGTATTATTGTTTTCATCTTATATAGAAATATTATCTTCCCTCCACTTCTATCTCCAGTACATACATTATTGATCATGTTTACGAATTGTGAAATTAAGATTCTCTACCTTTGGCAATGACACATCTTTCACTACTATGGGCAGATATAGAAAAAACTATTGACGTAATCTATCCATTCTGAATTACTCTGAATTTGATTTTCATTCAAAACAATATGTCACTCATCTGGCAACTCTCAACGAATTCCATGGCAATTTTAATTATTCACAAAAAAGTGTAGATTTCACGTCATAAAAATCATTGTGTTAGTAAAATATGTGCTAATAGTGAAAAAACGATTGTCCTGTAGGTGTTTATAACGACCTTTTCAAAATATGCATTCCCCTTGAGGGTACTTCATAGACCTAATTTACTTACTCGCTCGGCTTCCAGAGGGTTGTTGTTATATTGTGGAACATAAAGAAGTAAAAAGAGTATTTGAAAACGGGAAAGAAACGTATTTATTGAATGAAATAATTATATTGGTACTTACAATTTGGATATCAGAGGATCCATTTTCAATGAGCACAGGGAACCTTTCTTGCTCTACGCCCGACGTAGACTGACTTCCTATTTTTCATAATCAAACTACTCCAATCAATATTTCCCTCTCTGATTGTTTATTAATTTCTGTATCTCAGCAGTTTTAGAGTCAATTTTTCCGTTCAATCTGAGCATACAGGTTATAGAAATATTAGTTGTGATAGGAAACTTAAGTTCCTGTCTAGGTATGAGTGTCAGGCAATACGTTGGATTTGAAATGAATGGTTTTTTATTTGGAATAATTATGTTCGAATTCAGAAAGATAAGGATTCACTACATTACATGACACTATTATATCATCATACATCAAACACTGTTATGAAGATTGCTCTTGACTACTTTGGTTCTCTCCCTCGATGCTGGAGTATCTCTTGTCGGAAACTTATACAAATCGGCTAGAAACTCTGCTTAGCAAAATATTTTTCGTATTTTCTTATACAGGGTGAGTCATCAGGTATTGTACATACTCTCACATATAGAGGTCCCTTGAGTTATCCTGACATTTTCCTTATAATTTAGAAAATGGTCAATTTTGAGTGGAATCATAATAGACAGAGAGCCAGAGCCAAAAAGATTCTCTGAATTTACTAAGCCTAGATTTTTCACAGTTTATTACAGTGGTTTTGTACATAAAAATCTGCAGTCAGTCAAGCAAAACTGAGAACAGGTGTCCCTGGTATTCTATCGAAGTTGTCGTTCCTACCGAGGTAATGCAATGAATTTACTAGGGCTGAAAACCATTATACAAACTGTATATTCGATATGAATGAAAGTTATGAAAGCTCAGATCAACAAAAGACCCTAGATTGGCCCATAGCTGCTTTGTTGTGAATCAAACATAACTGTGTTTATTTTACGTTCACGACACGTTACGAAACAAAACAACGAAGATCCAGTGCCGGCCTTTTCTCAAGGGGTCAAAACATTGACAAATGATATTATTCTTCACATTAAATAATTTTTTTTTGAAACTCGAACCCAAACTTAAATTTTCTGGCAAAATACGTTTATATTTTATTTTCACATAGGAATTTGAAACACATAATGTAGGGATATATTAATTGAGGTGTTCAAATCTGAAATCCCATTATTGATATGGTTCTATAAAAAACAATTATATTTCAATCCCAGTACTGGTTAGTACAAAGAAATAAGTGCATAAAAGGGTAGAGTAATTTATTACTCAATGAATCCAAACACATCAACAATACAGATTTTTTAATTTTCAGTTGAAAGTACTTACACATAACAAATAGTAATATAGGCAATTATTATAGGTAAAAATCAACTGAAGCTCCATGAAACACTAGTGTTTGTTTATGGTAATGCATGCTATAAATATATGTTATATTTAATATTAAATTTGTTTAATTTTCTATAGAAAAGGTAGGCACACTCAGCTAATATACATAAATTCATAAATATGAAAATAAAGTGTATGCTTAATCGAAAAATGCGAAAATATTCAAATATTGGATTTTTGTTTGACTACACACAAATTAAATGTATTTGAAATATTGAAAAGTAGGTACATTTAGGAATTTCACAGATTCCTAAATAAAATTGTTTTAGTCAAAAGAGACCTCACTCTTTGTTCTTTATTATTTGTCCTCAGAGAAATTTCATGAAAAATTCTAATTTTGAAAAAAAAAACTGAGTATTGACTTGGCGAGGGCATAACCATGATTAGACAAAGGTTCCTCATCATAAAAATGGTTACCAAAATCATCAAATATGTCTTGGGGTAAATCCTTCATGGTTCTCAATATTAATATATTAACAATCTTATAATTATTCAATAACAAATTGTACTGACTTTTCATTACCCTCAATGTTTTGTGTCCTCGAATACACATATTTATAACGAATTTTGAAGCATTTATCATTTTGTCATATGCCTTTCTTCCTTGTAATTTGGAATGAGTCTTTTGGTCTTCCAAAATGCCTATGCAATCGCTACACATTATGGTCTGTTTCAGTTTTTTTACTACAAAACCTGAAGTGTACTTCACGATTTCCTCCACGTATGTGGTTAAATTCCAAAATCATCAAATATGTCTTGGGGTAAATCCTTCATGGTTCTCAATATTAATATATTAACAATCTTATAATTATTCAATAACAAATTGTACTGACTTTTCATTACCCTCAATGTTTTGTGTCCTCGAATACACATATTTATAACGAATTTTGAAGCATTTATCATTTTGTCATATGCCTTTCTTCCTTGTAATTTGGAATGAGTCTTTTGGTCTTCCAAAATGCCTATGCAATCGCTACACATTATGGTCTGTTTCAGTTTTTTTACTACAAAACCTGAAGTGTACTTCACGATTTCCTCCACGTATGTGGTTAAATTCCAAGCGTTTGATGTGATATAGCCCTCACTCACAATGAAGGCTTCTATATCACTGATTTCTTCAGCACCTTGTGTGTTTTTCACCAAAGAACCACTTGTACAGTGGAGAATCGAAGTAGAATCTAATGATACTGCATTAGCATTTTGAGATCCTCTAATTTCGGTATGGATGATCAGACGTTTCATGGTGTAAATGAATTGTCTAGCACTGGGATTGTTATTGAAGCCACTTCTATTCCAGATACAACTAAAAAATATTTCCAAGTGATCTTGAGATAACTTGTACGTTAATAAGTATTTTAAATTTTGTTTGGTTACAGTCTAATCCAATTACAAACCTTTTAAACTCTTGATACAGATAATTAAACCTAAAATAACAGTTTTTCTATTGCTTTCTAAAATAAGCTTTCCAGGAATTTTCAATTTTGATATATATTCAACTGCCATATCCAAGAACTCAAAATACTTGATTTGTGTAGCAGGTGAAAGAGGTTTCCCAAAAGGTTTTGAAGTTAAAACACTTCTGGAATTGAATATATCGAACACATTGTTGAAAATCCTACAAAATAGTGCAGTGCTTTCAGACCCTTTAAACTCACTAATTTTTAAATCAAAATTCAAAAAATCTAAAGCCTCTGCCTCACTCTTACTCAGTGTTTGAACCGCCAATTTCACCTTCATCTTCTCTCTTGTCCATAACAAGTGTCTCTTCCTCAGCTTTGTTGCAACATGTAACCCCTGAGTTTCCTGAATGTTGCATAACTGATCCATATATTCCCAGCAAACTTGGTTTCCATCCCCATCTTCTATGATTTTTTGGCTACCAAAACAATTTCTCACCAACTTAATCATGTGGCTAGGATCTAAGAAGACAAACTTTATCATTGCTCACAGGATGCATAAAGAATGTTTTGGTAGAGGATGGTGACAGATCAGCACCTAACTTCCGTGCCATAGATAAGTTGGCAGGGGCTCCATCAAAAGTGACAGAAGTTACCCCCACACCAGTTTCATGAACGAACTCCAGACATTGATTTAGCAGATTTGCTTTTTCATCTCCATTTAATCCATCAATCAAAAAATAAGCAATTGGTAGCTTCCAATGCTGGTTCAGAGCTACTAACATGAAAACAAGTGCTTCCTTGGCCTCCTCCATATTGTCTGATTCAATGCCAGTCCCTAAATCAACATAACCAAAAAATTTTTTCTATCCCATTCAATTTGTTTCCTGATAGCTATTTCGTCAAACACTAAATTACAAATTAGTTTGAATCCTCTAGCTTCAGCTTCCTTTGCTTTAGTTCTCAATGCCTCCAAAGCTTCTTATGAGAAACCAGGTGATGCCTCTACAGTTTGGTACCATTTTCTCAGAGTACGAGGATGTGGTAGGCCTTTATTAAATTTTGCTCTTACATACTCATATGCTTTTTTAGAGTAGAAATTTAAAGTTAAAGCAAATTTCCTCAGTTCAGGAGAATATTTTTTTGAAGCTGTTTTCTTAATGAATTCCCTGAAAAAATCTTGAGAATCATCTGTTACTGTGGCCTGAAAACAAACAAAATGTACATATAAATGTATACATACCATGTGGAAACCACTTAGGGAATACAATTATTTGTGGCCTCATCTCACAGAATTATAAGAAGCGCTGGGAACTTTTTAATTCAATAGTACATTCTCCGAACAAATATTCAAATATACAGGGTGATTTACCTAAGCCCAAGTGAAGGAAACCATGAATGTTATTATAGTTCGTTCAAATCAGCTAATGATGAGCATTTCAAAAATATGAATATATTCAGGATGTTCCATTAAAAATGAAGAGTACCAACTGTGCTGTATTTACGTGAATCACCCTATATATTCAAAGTTTAATCCAGAACACGTACGTTAACATTTGACGTTAACATTTGACGTTTCCAAGTGTTTTTTATAATTCTATGTAATTAGGCTACAAATAATTTCAATTGATAAGTGTACACTGTATATACCAGAAATAAATAAATTCAGATTAAATAGATGGGCAACATTTCTGATAATATGGAGTATAACTGATTGAATGACAAAGTTAGAGTTGTTCATACATTTTCATTAATTTAATATAAAATATATACTCACATCCAGTATATTTCCAGCATTCTCAGAAATAATTTTGATGTCTTTCAAATGTTTAACAAGAAATTGTAAGGAAAGGATTCTGTGTTGCATTCTTCTTTGTCTTTGTTTCAGAATAGCAGTTCTTTTTTTTTGGACTCTATTGTGTTTTTAATTATATCCCAACATTTCTTCCTCTTTGAAGGATTGTCCAAATCTTCAAAAGTAATGTGAACAAAATAACTTAATCTTTTTCTCTTCCTGCAATGTAAAAATCAGTTGATCAAGTTCAGACTGAAATTTTCTGATTATTTTACCTTGAATTTGGGATCTCTTTTTGTTGTCTAGTTTTTGAGACCTCCAATAATTCAGAGGCTGTTGTGGTGGAGGAAGAAGGTGGTGTCCTGAAAAAATAATGATTTACCCACCTATTGAAAATAATAATTCTATCATGTTTTTTCATTATGTGGTCTCATGTATCATCAAAATCAAAGCATTATTTTAATATCACCTCATTTCAAAAGATGCTTCATTTCCAACATCTCTTACTGTCTCATCAATCACTGATAATGTTGATATGGAAGATTCTGGTGATCTGTAATGAATATTTTCTTCATAATATTTATAAACTAATAATATGTTGTATTATGATTTTTTGCAGTGATAAAAATATTGTTGTGAAGTGATGTTGCGGGATCTCGCTTCGCTCGTCCCGCAAAATCCCATCCTTACACAAAACAACGCGTTTCCTAAATGATTACGTAAATATCTAATTCATAACTCATTCATTAAATACTTCTCAAAGCTATATTCTTGCTAAAAAAAAATCTATAATTTCAGGTTATATTAATTATCATTTTGAACTATGAATATTTATTATTTAGTGTGTGATAAGAAAAACAATGTGTACCTATTTCAGAATTATTTCCTAAAACAATAACTTTTTGAAATAGTTGACTAATCAAATACCTCATTTTCGAAGTACTCGGAACCATGTTCTTCATAGCATCTATCATTTCAGGGGCTGTTGACGTAGAGGATGCTGGGGATCTGTGAAAGAATACATTTTTTACTTGATAAATTTGTTGATAGAATCCAGCATATAGGAAAAACTATATAACATTGAGCGAAAGTTTGAATATTGCTGTAAATTTTCAATGTATTGTATTTTACCTGATTTCAATCATATGGTCAATCATGTTTTTTGTAGCATCAATCGTTTTAGGGGCTGTAAAAGTTGATGTTGATGATGCAGGAGATCTGAAAATAAAAATAATTAGGAAGTTATTTGAAAGAAACAAGGAATGACATTGTTATCTGTGAAATTATAGAAATTTTACCTGGTTTTGAAAGTCTCATCACCTTTATCTTTCATAGTATCAATCATTTCAGGGGCTGTTGAAGTAGAAGATGCTGGAGATCTGTAAAACAGTCAATTTTTTTACTTGACAAATTTGTTGATAAAATCCAACATATAAAAAAAAAACTAAAAAAATAACTATATTGTTATAACATTGAGCAAAAGTTTGAATATTGCTGTAAGTTTTCAATGTATTGTATTGTACCTGATTTTAATCATATGGTCAATAATGTTTTTGTAGCATCAATCGTTTCAGGGGCTGTGAAAGTTGATGTTGATAATGCAGGGGATCTAAAAAAAGAACATGAGTTATTTGAGAGAAACAATCCCCTTAATGAATGGTATTGATATCTGTGGTTATGATAGAAATTTTACCTGATTTTGATAGTCTCATAATCTTTATCTTTCATAGAATCAATCATTTCAGGAGCTGTTGAAGTTGTAGATAATGAAGGAGATCTGAAAATTTGATGTGAATTATTTGAAATAGAACTCACTCACTTCATTATGGAAGAACCAGCATCTATATTCATCATTTCCGAAGCCGTTGAAGTTGAGGTTGTAGGCGACCTAACAATAAAATTAGTTTAGAGTTGTTTGAGCACTTTTTCATGCATAATACAATCAACAATGTATTTAGGTTGATCATATCAATTTCATTATTTTTGAACTGATAGTGAAACAAAAATACCTATAAATTACAAAGATTGTAGTAATTTTGTAGTAATTATTATCTTGAAAAATGCAATTCAATAGTTTGGCTAGGTGAATGTTCAGGAGATATTGAGTCCACAAAAACTGCTACTTCAGCAGAACTTCCAGCACTGAAAAATGAAAATATTTTATATTATTCACCAATAGAGAGCTGAACGAAATAGTAAAAATTGAGTTTATTGGGATTTTCTGTCAGCTATGACATTCATTACGTGAAGAATTTGTACCAACACTCATTTTGTTGTATTATTTAAAAAAAATTGAAATAACAAATTTTTGAATTAATAAATATAGTAATTCCTGACAGAAATATCAAAACTGCATGTTTAAGACAAGAAGTTTCATACACTACAGCTTTTCTACACTTGCATCATACCTTTAGAAGATTTGTTTGGCTCCAATAAACCAATGAACACAAAAAGTCTATTGTCTGAGCAAAATACAAAGCTGCCTATCATTACTACCTAGAAGTATCCTCAAATTCATTTCGATAGTCGAACTTTTGAATTCTGATGAATAAATAATCAATACACAAATTTAAAACTACCCCATTTCCTATTATGAAGTGTGAAAACTAGAACCAACTTCAAAATTGACTACCTAATAAGTATGAAACTTTCCTAAATAATCTTCAACAATGTCTAGGTAGCACAAAACTCACATTTCAATAGTTTCAACTGCCAGTAACTTTGGAATAGCATCTGAACTCAAACATGATTTTCCTTGTGGCATTTTGATGATCTGATTAACTTCAAAGTGAATAGAACAGATATATGAATCTTTCTTCAAGCTGAGAGGATCCAATTTCAAAGCATCACACCACATCTTCAACTTCTTCTCATCGGTAGGAAATCTGCAAATCATTTATTTAAAATTGTAATTGCTTGTACAGCATACAGTATGTCGAGTGACATACAACTTTTTGAGATACGTAATTAATTTTTTCGTTTGTTCATAAACTTTCTTGTCTTGTAATTTTCATGCATCTGCGACCGTTATCGGGAAAAGTCATTTTTTGTAATTCGCTCTCTAGATCGGTAACGAAGCGTTTGCAGACACATGTTCGATTTGAATATGGCAATTCTCAATTCGCTTGTGTTAAATCGATTACAAAATGTCCAATTCAAATTTGAAATCAATTCGAAAATTTTCAATTTAAATTTGAAATTTGTTATTTCAAAAATGAATTTGTTCAATCCATGATGAATTGATCCCTAGTAATATAAATGTGAATATAAGTTTGTTTGTCGGGCTTTCACATCAAAACTACTCAACCGATTATCATCAAACTTTGTATATTTAGATGTATTAGAAAGGACATAGGATACTTTTAGAAAACAAATTCTTACGGAGGGGAGGGTAAAGAAATGTTCGTTAACTCGTTTTGTTTACTGCGCAACCATAGTTTCACCATATACGTATTAATAATCAATACGGATAATCTCTATCTGTTTCCATTGCGAAACATGAAGCCGATTTTTGAAGACAAATGACTATCCATAAGGAAAAGTTTTGAAACGATCAGACACATACTGCTTTGATTGAAAGGCTAGTAAACGTCATTTTCCACCGAAACGCGTGTCTTTGATGACTACTATAATAGCGCATGGCGCATGCGTATCATGCCTCCAAATCCTTATGGATATTCATTTGTTTCATATTTTTGGCTTCATCCTGGCACCCGTTATGATCCGTATTGTTTATTAATACGTATATGAGTTTCACGCGCGCCAGGCTATTATTTCAACCTTCGACACAAAATATCCAACAATCAGACAAAACTCTATATGTCGGTGCCTCAGATATTTATTATTAGAATACATCTTTCGGAACTCGTAATTTTCGGATTATTTAGATGGTGAAATGAAATTGACAAATATCTAAACTAACATCAGGTGGGCACATCGACGGCGCAAATTCATTACTGCATGGACGATACCCTTCAGATTTTTTGCTATTCAGTTACTTTACCGCGAATGACATTGACGTTTTAGTCTTCTGCACAACCAAAATGCACGAATTCAATACTACTAATTGGTACATATAGAGACAGGGCGCAACAAATAATCCATGCGGAAGCATTTTAACTTTTCTTGTAGTAAATTATTGAAGTGAAAACTTCTTTAGACGCGTTCAGCACTTTTTTGGGTGAAGAAAAACATTGGATTTCGTGTCATCGTAACGTCACGTCATTTTCAAGTCACTGATCAGCAAAAAATCTGAAGGTTGTCTCCCATGGATATCATAAAAACGGCTGGACCAATTTTTATGATATTTGATTTTTTAGATTTCTATTAGACCGGAATTGAATCGAAGTATTGAAATTCGTGAAAATTGGGATATTCAAGAAGGCGGATCCAATATAGCGGACGAGTTTTGGAATTATGATCCGATTCTATTCAGAATTGGTATCTAGGGGTTTTCGGGGTCGTAGAAAATTATTCCTTCGTCAAAATTTGGAAATTCAAGATGGCGTATCCAATATGGCTGATGAGTTCTGTAATTATCTTTCGATTCTATAAAAAATTTCTATCTGGGGTTTTCGGGGTCGGAAATTATGATTCTTTCGTGAAAATTTGTAATTTCAAGGTGGCGGATCCAAATGGCACACGAGTTTTGTAATTATGATCTGATTCTATTCAAAATTTGTGTCTGGGGGTTTTCGGGCTCGTAGATTGTGATTCCTTCAACAAAACTAGGAAATTCGAGATGGTGGATTCAATATGGCGGACGAGTTTTGTAATTATGATCCGATTCTGTTCAAAATTTGTATCTGAAGGTTTTCAGGGTCGAAAATTATGATGTCATCGTCACAATTGAGAAATTTAAGATTGGAAATCTAATATGGCGGACGAGTTTTGTGGCTATGTTCCGATTTTATTCAAAATTTGTATCTGGGACTTTTCGGGGTCGGAGATCATGGATCATTCGTCGAAATTGGAGGATTCAAGAGAACTTAAAAGGAGTAGAAAAATAATAATCTGATAGTGGATTGGATTCTTTCCAAACGAGGGCAATTCGTCTCGTGGGTGATGCCTCGCTCACAAACTCATTCACTTCTCTGGAACACCGTAGACAAGTTGGCGATCTGGCCCTATTTTATAGATATTTTCATGGAAGATGCTCTTCTGAAATATCAACAATAATTTCTCCATTGGCAGTCCCCGCGAGATTAACCAGTCGAGTTGTGGCTTCGCACCCCTTCGTGGTCACTTTGGAGACCTGCAGAACATCTCTTTCCAAAGACTCGTTTATCCAACGAACAACGAGGCTCTGCCAAGGGAGGTGTTCCCCGAGGCATATAACCTCCAAAAATTTAAGAACACCAATTCCTACCTTATTTCCTTTGGTTCTTACGATGTTCTCTGAACATTACAGGATAGTCCTTTTCGTGGGAACCAGAACATAAAAAAAACATTGAAATGTAAGGATCTTTGATATTTATTCAAGGGCTTCAACGCGAGGAAAGCCGCGAGTAAAAGCTGATTTTAAATAATTATGTGGTCTTTATCAATACTGATTGGTCTCAGTTTCAAGTTGAGAGGGTACAGTTGCAATATGGCCACCGTTTCCACATCCAAAATACCAATACGTCAACTAATGATGTGAAACGATTTGCTATTGAATTTTAATGTTTGAATGCATATTGCACGGAATTCCATGTCTCGTACCTATTTATGAAACACTGCAAAATGGTGAGTTTTGCATACGATGTGTTGAACTATTTGCTACGTGTATGTTTCTATAATTTCAAGTCCAAATAAGAAACACATTCATTTGACAACTTGTGTAATAAATAGGTTTTTTTCTTTTTGCATTATGTATATTCTATTTTATAATTTTCTTTCATAGAGAGAAGAAACGTGAGAAAGAACGTGATGAGTTGTGGAAGAAGCTGGCTGAGCTGGAAATATCTCATAAGAGTCCTTCTGCTCTTCAACATAACAGTAACCCCTCCAGTAAAAAGTGATGAAGTAGTTGTGAGTCCAGCGTCGCCTGTCTGTCACGCTAACCACTTTTCCGGTAAGTAAGACACTGCGCAGGTGACAAGTTTCCCCTTCAGCGTCTCAAAAAGGAGCCAAGCTTCACATCGCAAGGCTAAATGACCTTGGTCTCCACGTCAGTTACGTTTGCAGTTTTTGCACTGTTCATGTGTTGAACTATTCATGTAGCATATTTTTAAGTTACTAAAACTGCTAGTCTATTTTTTTGTGAACTGTACATATGGATATCGATTTAATGAGAGTTTGTTTTTGTAAAATTTTACCACATTAAAGTAATAGATCGACTCAATGTTTCTGAATATCTGCACTAAGTTTTAGTTCAGTGACTGTAAGTTTGTATTGAACTTTATTGATGTAGTCGAAGCACAAAACATTTTAGCCTTCAGAAAATTTTTCTTTAGGAATGGTAGTCCGAGTTATCGTTTGATTGATTAAATAAATTCATAGAGATATTAATAAAAGTCTGTAAACATAATAGTGCATCTTGAAATATATATTCTATAATAATTATTATTATAATGACATCATGTTAGATGCCTGGCAATATTTAGAAAAAATATATATTTTTTCTTTATGAGTGGAATATATTTTCATGGGTAACATACTAAATTACCCATGGGCAATGAAAACAGCAGATAATGATCGAATGAAGTCCATTCATATTCTGTATTTCGTTTCAGAATTTTCACTTTTACATTATGCGAAAATGTTAGATTTTCTTGGAGGATCCTACATTGTCCAAAGAAGGTCTTCTGGAATAAACAAAAAAAAATACTGGGTGGTCCACTGAAAACTATCCACCGTTGATAACTTCCAGACAAATGATTTCAGAGAAAACTGCCGGGACTGACTGGAATGAAATATCACATACTTCAGCACCCTACTTCCCTTTGTAAGTTAAATATGGAAGAGGAGTCGTGTCATACATCATTGTAAACGTAATTCAATTCTGACACCAGCACTGCAAGGTTTTGACCGGTTGGACTGGTTCAGTTTTTTTATTATTTCTTTCTTTCACATAATCAGATCCACAAAAATAGAGCTTGTAGAGGATCCAATATTCCATTGATTAGTATCCTGATTTTTCTAAATGTGATACAATTACTTATAAGTAAGTAATTCAATAACTACCCCGTACTCAATACATAAAAAGTAATTAGAGAAATATGAAAAAAAAAAATAAAATGTAGAGCTGTACGATGAATTGTTATTCATCATACAGGGCGTGGAAATAAATTCTGAATTGAGAAAACCCAATCAAAAAATAAGTCACGAAATATTACACATAGAACAACTTATTACAACACACATTGTCATTTCAGGTCGTTATTTAGAAAAAAATCAAAATGTTAATGAATACCATGTAGGTACAAAATGGATTATCAATGACTCCCAGGCAGTAATAGAACCTGTTTTCTTCAGGAAAACAGTTCTCTTACAATTACCTGACATTTCCTCATCAATATCATTTCCAAATTGTTTAGTTCAATTGGTTGAGTTTTATATGTAACTGATTTCGAATTAGCCCATAGAAAAAAAACATTCCGTGTCAAGTCCGGTGAGCAAGCTAGCCATTTTCTCATCTTTAGTTTGAAATGGGGTGGTGTTCATGCAACTTGTTGGGAAGAACGATTATCTGTCAGTAGATTTGGATTGCCATTATCGTTGTGGCGCATTCACCATCATCTATAATGAGTAGTTTTTTTTGCAAAATAAATCATACCATCTCAATTACTCTAGATAACTCGGTCCAAATCAACGATTGAAAATGGAGAATTAATAATAAATGCAAAGCTAGCACCAGCAATTCATCGAACATTATAGGCATTTCCTATAGATAGATATCCTAGAGATAAAACAAAATAATAAGTTCAAGATGCAGAAAAAAATTATAAATAGTTCCTGTCTGGAAGTTCATGGAGGTCATTTTCCATAACTCATTTCCTACATATTCTCTCATAATTCAAAAAACTATCAATTGAACTCGAATGAATCGAGAACGCCTTGATCAAATTTAAAAAATCTTGAATTGCTGGTGTCCGCATTGTGTTAGCTCTACAATGTTGCATGACACGAGTCGTATTCCCTATTGAATCAACATAGGAGATTGTTCTGGGGAGTATGGGGATGAGTTTGTGATAACGCTTTCATGTTGAATGGTGTCACTGTTCAAACAAACTTTGACGTGTCTACTTGATGGTCATCAGTGAACCACCCGGTATATTTTATAGTGTACCCCATTTACGACTGAAGCGCCCTTATGGAAATTACACACACTACAACCAATGTTATGATAAGCTGTTATTTCATATTATTTTGACGTTGATGAATATTAGTCAATGAATTTTGAGATCATGCTTATTGATGACCTCTAAATCCAGTGGTAGGATCAAAATTTCTCAAAAAATCGCTTACGATATTGGACCGTTTTTGACATGTGAAAATATTGTAGCATGCACTGGAAACTGATTTTTTTTGAGTTTCTGGTGCTCTTGCTGCTGAAATCGATTGTAAAATCACACTGTATATCACGAACAAACAAAACAATGATTTGGAAGTTTCAGTAACCGAGATAAAAAAGTTTGTGGTACAATTTGTTTGTGCTAGCAACTAGGAACAGAAATTGGAAACTTAAAAGGGGGAACAAGTTTTTAACAAAAAGACTTATTCACTGATGTTGAAAGAGCTGTAGACTATCAATAGACTGAAAAATGTGAAACACAAATATGGTGAAAACGTTATTCGGAATTCAGCTGACCTTTTGATACTGCACCAACATTATTCATGCTTCAAATTTTTTCCCCTATATTTTCAAATATATTACATATCGAGATGGATAACATCTCATTGCTGTAAATCTCAAGACAGTAATTGAACTTTTCAGCTTAGAAAGTATAATATTTTATCAACAAGCATTTTGATCCATTTGCAATGTTTGTTGTCCCTAACCTAACACAAAGGCACAATTCAACGTCGAGGCTTTTTGATGATGATTGGTAATGAATGTGAGCTAATTTCGTACCTTCAAATAAATGAACAAAGATTGACATCTGATATTAAAGGTCATATCATACTAGTGCCAGAAGAGCCAGATTTTTTCCTCGAATGTTTACATGGAATGAAATTAATACCATTTTCTACTCGTGGCAGTAGCTCGAACTTTCTCCGCACAATGTTTTTAACACATTGAGTGTATAATTTCAGTCCAGTAAAAACTGGTAAAGGTATACATTTTACTGCCTCTTGTCTAAGAATAACCTATCAAAAATTAAATGCTTAATTTAGAACGCCTATTTTTATAGTATTGCCTTGAGACCCTAGAGTACCTTGTTGGTGATGTGATAGTTTTGGTATTATATAGAGTAGTCACCAGTGGCTTTAGCACTACCAGCGCCCTGGCCGAGATTTCGACGGCGCTCCCTTACTGCAATTCAATTCCACACGAGGCAATGGGTATGATGAAATGAGAATTCATTTAAAAAAATGACCATTCATTTAAAAAAAAAGGAATTTCACTTTTCTAGTCTCTTTATTGGCGAACTCTCTTATTGTGTTATCAAAGTCGATGTATTCATCAATTTCATTTTCGATTGACAAACTTGGCAACTAGATCAACATATTGTCGATCGCAGATAGGTTTTTATCAGCTTGAGCTTAGAAAAACTCCTTTTCCCACTAGCAACCGTTACGGTTATATATAGTCAATAATATTCGCAATGCTATCCATTCGTTTGTAACCACAGTCGGGAATAGTATATTGTTGTACGAGCACGGAATGATGTGATTTCCCACGAGAATTAAGAGGCGAATGCTGCAATCATTCCAGTTGAAAATTATACAGTTATACACTTTAAATTTTCTACAGCTGTTGTAAGAGATAACAGCGACATTTGATTTCCTCTCAAGGAATACTCATCTATTAGACAGAGCTGTCATTTCTTGAAATTTGACATTCCGTGGGCGATAAGATTTTTTTGAAATAATTACACAATGGAGTCATTGTGATACCAGATACGGAAATAAAATTGATGTCATGCAAAGTACCTCAATGATGTATCGAACACAGTAAAACAAGAGCCGTTTTGTGTTATAGCCGTAGAAAAAAGATTTCAGGCTTAGGTGAGTTCATCACACAACATACAACCATCTATATCTGATTGAGAGTCAACAGTTGATTTTAATTGGAGATCACTTTGTCGAAGGTCGGGTTCTTTCGGAATCTGTTTTATATTGTATAAAAAAGACCAAGATTCTGAGTACTCATTTAGCTGTTAGCTTTTAGAGCTTGTATTTCTATATTCTAACAAGAAAGTGCAGCATATTTTCAGCATTTCTGTGCATTTACTAAGATCCACCAACGACATTAATTTGAAAAATTTTGGGGAATTTACGAGTAAGTAGGCCTCGCTCAATGAGCGAGAAGATAAAAAGGAGCGCCCTACCCTAAAGCCGTTGCCGCTACTGGTAGTTATTTTGACAAACAATGGTAGAAAATAAAAACAAAATCTTCACATGAAAATCATTTTGAAACAAATCATCTGTGTTTGCCCAACAATTGAATGAAATACGGTTCCTGTAATATTTTTCTCTTCTAGTCCAGAGAAGAGTGCAGAATATAACTCTGTTGCTTACAGAGGAGTGTCATTTCATTAATGGAGCAGGATGGTAGTAAAGCCAATTATTACTATTAATCCGGAAGTAGCTATACTTTCCTTGATGATATAATGTTCATCAATAGATTAAGCAGGGACATTTGAGTACTTCTCTTGATTTGTATAATTCTCAGTAGTACAGAATTAGCGTCTTGACGTAATAGTTTCTTTAGGACAATCACCTAGGTATTGATTTTCTAGCCCGTGCAGAATTGAATATTATGAAATGAACTAATCAATGCATCAATTAAATGAAGAATTTGACATAAAAAACAAACCTATTTTGGAACGAAATATCTCAGGTATCATCTGAAAGAAATTAATTTTGTTGAAATCTTATCGTTTGTGGAGTTTTTACATCAATAAGAGTTTTTTCAATATTCCTTGAAAAGACACAAAAAACAGACAATAGGGATGTACCGGTCTGCGCATCTCATCTTTTATCAATGATGAATTTGAACAATGTTAATATAGGAACCCCTATGGCACTGAGATTTTTTTTATCCAACATTCATATCTTCCGAACTGGTATTTCATTTGCAAAACAACTACCAATATTTCAAATTCAATAATAGCACTCAAATGTACATGAAAACACATTTTTCTGTTCCATTACAATCTTCTGGACATGTCTGATAAAATCAATGAAAAATAATTGAATGTTTAACTTCAACTAATTTGTTTTCCACATTCTGCATATTGGTGCTAAACATTTTTATTGGCTGTCTTCAGTAAAACACTGTTTGGAACGGATCTCGTTTCTTGTCAGATTGATTTGAATTTCCTTTTCGATTGATATTTTTTCTCAATCTCATTACATTATCTGAAATTGATTTTTCACTTTCAACGTGCTCCTGAAAGAAATGTATTTGTTTCATAGAATAATAATTATCATAGATTTTTCATGGAACAAATAAATGGTAATTCATTTCATTATTTGACTTGAAACGAAAAAATGGTGACTGGGTGTATTGTGTCTGTGGCAGTGCCGTCCTATATACACACACATATATTATGATGCAAATGTATGGAATAAATTCTCTATTTTAAAGATATGCAAATTTAGAAAAATCTGAAAAGACGTTTAAGTTTGAATTTTTCAAATCCCATCTCATGATATTCATTTGCGAGAAGGCACGTCACCAGTCTCGGAGTTATGCCATAATCGACTAATTTTTTAAATACATCATGTGACACGTAAAGGTCTTCTGATTGTCTATTCAACAGTATGATAATTGGAATATTTATTCATACAAGGTGAAAAAACTGTTTATTTATTAAAATACAATGAAATGACAATAAATGTTCAAATTGATGAACTTCCGTAATGATGCAATGTGGAAGCTGGGCAGTAGATTCTTCTCATACGTCTTCGAGAAGTTAAGGGGTAGTTTGTGTTCGTTGGAATGCTTCATTTTATATATTTTCTATCTCCACAGCCAATAATAATAAAAATTTGAGTAGTTCGATTTTTGTTAATCACATCGCTAGATTATAAGCGATTTGAATATTTTTATGGAAATAATATCAAACAATTCGATGATACCTACCTACTACATCAAATTAGAGTTCAAAGGTTTTTCAATGAATGTATTTTTTTTCTAAATAAACCACACTTCGATGTTCAATTCTCAGTAGCAGACCTCTACAAAATGCATTTCAACAAATAAGCATTCATTGTAATTTCAATCTTATGCAAAATTTTGATTGACTGTAAATACATATTGGAAAGATTATACTGTTCGATAGACGACTAGTAGACCTTTCAAATGAGGTGTCACATGACCCCTGTAAAATCGTTCATTACGTCATTATTCCAACACCGGTGACGTATATCATCTCTCATATGAATATCATGGGATGAGGCTCAAAAAATTAAAACTCATGTGTTTTTGGAATCATTTCAAAAGTCGCCCATTTATGAAATAATGAATGTATTTCATACACTCGCATCATATTGTATAAAATATACAATATATGTATGAATTGATACAAAAATATTCTTGATCTGGATCAATTGACAAAACTCGAAAATGGCAGTTTTGATGTTCCAAGAAATCCAAAAATAGTTATTTTTGTATCTAGAGCGCGAAATGCTACTTTGGTGATCGAGATCAGATTTTTTTAACGAGGCGTAGCCGAGTTAAAAAAATAGTCGAGATGACCAAAGTATTTCGCGCTCGAGCTGCAAACAAAATTATTTCTACAAATGTCAAAAAATATAGTTCTAAAGTAAAAATATGCTTAGCTTGATATAAAAAATTGTGTTGAACTGGCTCAAAAAGCCTCTCCCTATCCTCCCTAGGTACGCACGATATTCCATGAACATAATAGGAATTTCCTTTCGTGCGCTCCAAGAGATAAAACAAAGTTATTGTTGAACATTCATGAGCAAATGATTTAGTGGATGTTTGCTCGATTGAGGACCATGAAGTTGAAATAAAAATATCTCATATATTTTACATAACAATGCGCGAAGTAGGTACTTCGCGCACTGTTTTACTTCGCGCATTGTTTTGTGCAACGTATCATGGTAACGTAGGAACATGAAAAAAAAACTTCGCAATTTGTTATCAATGCGCGAACCGTGTCATTATTCGACGTTTGTAGAAAAAATATATTACTGATTCATCTGAAGAATTCCTTGATGTTATGTTCTGTCACTTAAGAGTTTTCCCGTAATTTTTTATTCCATTTTTTTTCATTTTTGGTTATGTTTTATGCCCCTACTTGTCAATGTCCTAATTCTATATAATACCAAAACAGTCACATCATTATGCGGTACTCCCTCCCATATTGCCTATGTTTTATGCCCCTACTTGTCAATGTCCTAATTCTATATAATACCAAAACAGTCACATCATTATGCGGTACTCCCTCCCATATTGCCTTCAAGCTTTTTCTGTAATTTTATTGTAGATTAACTGTTCCTCAGACTAATGCAGTTAGCTTTGACAATAGGAAGTAAAATGCTTCTATTTCTGGTTTTGAATTCATCAAACTTGTTTGATAGTTGCCTAACATGGAACGTATTTGTTTTTCAAAATAAGCCTGAGTTCAACTAATTGTATTCTCATTGAATTGAACTACCCTTCCTGATAATATTTTCCTCTTTTCGAGATTAGGGATATTTGAGTGAATTTGTGCTTCGAAATAAGAGTTCAAAAAAGTGTCATAATTCTTTGAAAATGTTGAATAGTGCATAAGGATATATCTTCGGACCTTAGCCAAATTGTCCTCAGAAGGAAGTTGAGGTTGAGTGGTAATGGTGTTCATATAATAAACTAAATAACTAAAGAGGAATAGTTCAGAAATTCCGAGACATGATATTGTTTTCTATTTTGGGTGAGTTGATATCGATATAAAGCAAGTTGATGATATTTTTTGTTTACTCAGATATTTCAAAAATACCTAGTGGAATAAATCTACATTTTTTAAGTTCGACTAAAAAAATTGACATCAATTAACAACCAGATCAAATTCTCAACGTGGCACGAACATTATTATCTAATTTATATTATTGATCAATAATTGTTACATATATTTATATTCTATGTTGAATGATGTTTTTATACCACTGTACTTGTATCAAATCAAATCTACAATATATGACCTATGCTACAATGTGTCTCAAAAGAACTAAATAAATTGCATCACTCAAGATGATCATCTTCTATTATTTTCCATCCAAATCGCCCTTGACAATTCTGGTATTTTCCATCGGTCCTACTTATCTAAGGTATTCATACCCAACAGAACAGATATGAGAGTGATTGCAGGAGAGTATTAGCCAAAAAGAGAGTATGGGCCGGTTGCATAAAGCAGTGGGCAGAGGATTAAATATCTAATTTGTTTATACAGGGTGTTTCCGAAATTGGGGCAATGAATAAAATGAGATGTTTATACATGGCAACGTATGCCTAAGTTGATGAGTTAGGAGCATTGATTCCACGTCCAACTGAGAGAAAGATTCATGCAACCTGCCCTATGGACTTGCTGTTACAGTGCAGACTCGATAATCCGAACTAATAAAAGCCAAGGCGATTCGGATTACCAAAAAATTCGGATTACCGAAGCAGTTTTTTTTTAAATTTTTTATTACGAAATGCAAAAAAAACATAAAAACGAAAAAGTAACACTAAAATATGCATGAAAGTAAGAATATAATACTAGTTTCTAGAGTAATTTGTAATTTTTGTTTGCTTAACACATCTTTGATTATTTATAAAGGCCATTTCTTTTAATCTTTGAAGTACAAGAATATCATTTAACGGAATATTATTTTCTTCCTTGCGTAATGTGAATCCCAGATACTAACTAAAGAACAATTAGGGGAATCCCTGAACATTTCACTCACAATTTCTATAGGAAATAAATAGGCCTAAAGGTATAGGTTCGGATTATCCAGTACTATGAAATTCGGATTATAGAGTACTCAATGTATTAAAAATGCTTGTTCGGACTACTGAAGAATTCGGATTATTGAACGTTCGGATTATCGAGTCTGCACTGTATTACAATTATAATAAATGTGCTGAACGTGTTATCAACATCATAATGCATTAATTCTGAAAATAACTTGTTTGAGTAATTGATAAGTCTGGTGGTTCAAATAATCGTAAGTATAGTTACAAAATTTGTTGATACACTGATCATCCCAGTTCCACCTTATTAGATTTTTCTTGGACAATCTGAGTGAATGAAAACTGCACTCATTTTTGAGAATTAAAATTCGTAAACGTATCACTTCTCGGATTTCCTCTGCAATTATTCACAAATTTGTATATAATCAAGGAATGCGTGAATGTATAAAATGAAACTTTTGTGAGCGCACTTATTGTATTAATAAAATTATGTATTGGTAAAGTACTGCTAGCATAGAAAAGTATTGTTAA